GGTAAAGCTTTTGGGGAATTTCTGCAAAGTCCCCATCTTGAAGGCATGATCCTCGCTGAAAGGCTTGGTCTGTGTAGGGCCTGTGTGAGGCCCGTGCAAACCCTGGTCCGTGTGGAGTGAGACAGGGAAGGTAAGCCAGCCATATTGCTCTGGAATCTTGATGATCCCTTTCGTAATCTCCCTCCACGACTTGCAAACCGAAGCGTAAGCAATCACATCCCTCTGAGCAGGCCAATGAGTCTTACTCGCTTCAACGTGTTGGACTATGTCAAGAAGCAGCTCTGGGGGCAAGTTTGCCCACTTGGTTTGCTCAACTGATGCAGGTGATGACAATGTATGTTCCGGAGCAATGTGACATTTTGCACTTGGTTTGCCCACTTGGTTTGCTCAACTTGGTTTGCCTACTTCCTCTCTTCCCCTTCTCTTCTTGATTTCTTCCTCTTGTCATCTCTCATCTCGAATAGCTCGTGAAACACGTTTCTGAATTGCATTGCTCACTGGACTAGTATTTCCACAACTATGATCACAGTTCAAATGTCGTAGATGATAATTTTCGTGATTTCGCAGATCACTTGATGAGGAATGGTGAGAGATGTTTTTTCTACTTTCTGAGAAGTGGAAAATGTGTGGGTTGTGGGGAAAGGCGTGAGTTCAGAGGCCGAGAGAGGGAGGGAGAGAGGGAGCTCTGTGTCTGTGTCTCTGTGTGGGTTTTTGTAGATTCACGGCGGAGGTGAAAATTTGAGAGAGCCCCAACATAACTTTTCGTGTCGATTCCCACAGACGGCGCCAAATGTTAATGCACAAAACCGAAGGTCTTGGAACAACGTAAATCCGATCGTGAATCTACAAGTAATGTAAATAACACAAAATGTATCGTGATTCACCCCAAGGCTTGGGCTACGTCCACACTGATTATGTATTTATCTGAGAGGTGAGGGAGAGAACCTCTGAATATGATAGGGGATTTGAGAGGTGTGAGAAGGCTTCAGAAATGACCTCCTAGGGTGAGAATGAAACCCTCCTTAATTGTGAGGGTGAGGGGTCCTTTTATAGAATAAGGACTCATCACTTATTACATATTTGCCCCTTCCTTTATCACATAATTACATTTAAGTCCCCTGAGTATTTGTACGAGATCTAAATACGAGGCCTTAAATATGGTACAAACAGAATTGATTGTGATATTAATTTGCACAGAAAGATTGAAAGCTTTATTTTTATGCTTTCAAGCTTGGTTTTTAAGTGGTTCTTGGGCACGAAATTTATTTTAGTTCCCATCCCCTTGGCTGTTTGCAAAGCAAAACATAGATGATTCATGTATTTTTTAAGTTTTTATATTGGGATGCAGGTGCTTTCGGAAATATAAGAATTTGTGTGTTTGTTGATATGAAGAAATAAAAAAAATAAAAAAAAGAAGACGGTCTCAGTTGTTTGTGAGTCGTATATCCCCTCATCAATCTTCCCTAAATGAAATTTGTTTAAGGCTGTTTGATAATCATTTATAATTTATATGTAAAGTGGTTAATATAAAGATGCATGTATTTTATCAGGACTTTATTTGATGCTTTCATAACATATACAATTACTAAGTAACATTTTTTCCCTCCGATTTCATCAATTTGCTTCTGATTCATGTTGTTACATACATTGGATAACTTCCAAATTAACCACGTGAAGAGAATGACTTTTCAAGCTTCTCAAGTTAATTAAGGGCCTTAATCACTATATAAGGCTTTTCTATTTCTAATGCTTATTATTATGCTCCTAGATTTCCTCTTATCAAGAAAATTTTACTAATTGCAATTGTTAAATATTATTAGGGTGAGTAGTGGATCATCGATTTGAAATCAGCTCTTCATGTAAGCAATTTATCCACTTATTCATCTCAAATTCTTCTTCTTTGTAGATTGTTCTGATACCTACTCTTATTTTTTTCCATTGACACAACTCTTTCATTTCTTCTTTTTCATCATACTCTGAACTTACATTCCGTTTTTAGCTGCGAATTCTGAGGATGAGCTATACACAAGAAGGGATTATTAATGGGTTTTGGATGTGATATAAGTTGACATGTTTTGATGAAATTGAAGTTTTCAGTGATGTGTTTTTATAGAATTACAAATTTGAGTAATGAGTTTTTTCAATGGTTTTTTTTTTTAACATTTATGATGCTATTTGTAAAATTTAGTTAGAAATTTTTTTAACAACTATAATATCGTTTGATTTCAATTCGTAATTACTTCTTTTGTTAAATTTAAGCTTGATACTGTCAGCAGATCTTTATACTTTATGTCCAATATATATACAATGATGTATATGTGTTGTTTTTATAATATTGCTTAGCATTTTGTGTGTTGGGAGTAGAGTACATTGTTCACAATGGCAAAACAGGGGACATCTTCTACTTCATTTGGGAAGAAGAGGTTAGTTCGATTGTGATTGCTTTTTTTATTTGGTTAGATTTGAAGTTGGTTGGCTTGCATCTAAGTTAGTTGTTTCCTTGCACAGGTTGAAGTCACTAGTTTTATTAATGCTAGTGACTGAAATGAACTTGAGTTCATGTTAAAACGATGTCATAATTTTCATTATGGTGAGAACTGAGAACCTGTTTTTTTTTTTATTTTATTTATTTTTAATCTATACCGTTTTTGAATTCAAGAAATTGAATTACTTTTCTTTACCTTTTTTGTGATCATTCACTGATCATTTGTTAATTGTTTTAATATAATGAGGTAGGATATTTTACTTTCTAAGCTCCATTTTGATTTTCAATAATTGCTTGATTTCATATTGTCAAATAGTTTATCAATTTTCATATTAAGTGCATCAATATGATGTTGTAGTTTAATTAGATGTGATACAAGTTGATAGGTTTATACCTTAGAAATATAATTTTTTTACACAATTTTTAATCCCGCAACGATGCTAAGGTAGAACTTTCTAGTTTGTACTATAAGGCAGCCGGTAGCTCTGCAAGCAAATAACCGCTTGCAACCTTTTCTTAGTGCATAACATGTGCAATTGCCTTCAATGATGGTAATCCCAGCCGATGGTTAACGTCCTTCTGCTCAAAGAAGAAAATGACCCAGCTTAGGTACTTCGACCATGATGACAATTGAAAAACTAGAGAGCCAGTAGCCAGTTGAAGATATGTTGCGAAATAAGGTAATTTTTACTTCATGCAATTTTTGGTTATAGGGTGTTGATGCACAAAATCAGTGAGGACTTTGGTACAATAGAAAGTGTCAAGTTTGTGACCTTCGCTAGATTGCTCAGGTCACTAGTGTGGATAAGTATGCAAATAGATAGAGACAGGGAAGCAAACACAAGATGTTCGTGGTTCACCTAGATTGGCTACGTCCATGAAATAGAGGACTTCTCATTAATTGTGAAGGGTTTATACAAGTACATAGGTTCAAGCTCTTCTTTAGTAAGTACTAGTGAATGATTTAGTACAAATGACATCAGCAAATATTGTGAGAGAATTATCTCTATTTATAGAAGTGAGTTTCTCGTTTCATTCTGACATTGACACATGTCGTGTTGTGATTGACTTTTGATGTTGACACGTGTCGCACTATGATTGGCTTCTGATGTCGACACGTGTCGCACTGTGATTGGCTTCTGATGTCGACTTGGAGGGAAACTCTTTTGGATCCTTGACGGTATAACGTTGACCGGTGCTCAGTAGTTTCGGGATTGGTCAAGTATGATACAAACATAGGGAATGACGGTACAAAAACATATTAACTGTGGTATCAATTTCATGTCTAACTTTTCCAACATATACTGCTTTTGAAAAGAAGAAAAACCTCCTGACCTACATCACATGCCATGCATCCATATTGACCTTTATATACATCCACAAGTCAAGAAACAAGCATATTAGTCTGTATGCACAAACAAGTGAGAGTGGGAAGTGAGAAAATGCAGCTTGCTAATATTCCTAGCTCTCCCACCACTGGTCACTCGATCGATTGTTGTTCTTGGCATAATTTGCATGGTAGGTAGGGCTTGTATTATCCATACGTATATTGATCGATGTATGATCATGTGCCAACATCTGGAACAAGTGGGTGGGTAAACACTGGCGGAGGCACATGAGGACTAGAGTAGTCCTAGGCCTACCCTGACTTGAAAAAACAAGATTAGTATTACACCTATTTCTATTGCTTTGCAACTCTTCTCAACACTTATCTAATTATTTATCTATTTTTTCATCCAAATTCTATCCTAGAATTAAGAATAATATTTCAAATAGTCATTTATTACAAATCAATAAAACTTTTAAATTAAAACCCATCATTCACTTTTAACTAATAAAATTGTCCTTCGCTCGTGCACTAGCAGAGCTATTCCCCATATTCTTCTTGAATTTCATATATTTAGTCATTCCAAATCCCAAACTTATTGAATAAAGAACAAATAAGGTTTGTAAAACTCTATTATTCTCTCCATTGATTTTAATAATTCTTTCAGTAGTATAGAATAGATGACATCATGCAATGGTTTTAAAATATGAAATTCGTCGAGAATAATTATGATTACTATAAATAGATAAAATTATGTATTCATATGTTAATTTTGACTACTTAATTATTTGGATATTTTTATGATGTTTTTGCATTCGTAATTTTGTAACCACTATTTGTTTTTTTGTTTTTCTATACTTGTGTGAGGCCCCTTCTCACAAGAAATCCTAGCTCCGCCACTGTGGGTAAAGATATTTATGCCACCGATTCATGATGCTACTCTGATATTTTTCGTGTGTATACGTAGTTATTTGCAAATGTCCCCACCGAAGTTTTTCGGTCTTTTGTTTTTAATCAGGAAGGTTCCGACTAAAGTCTCGTTGATAACTTGATTTAGTGATAGCTACCTGTATAAACGGGCAACGAGGGATGGGGCCTTCAATCAAGTAATCAACATAGGAGAAAATCCATATTTCCCATGCAAACAAAAAATGAACAATCAAATATACAATTAGATTGCACAGAGAATTATAAAATATCCTTAAATGGGTACATTTCAAATTTCGAGGTACTACATCATATTAAAGCTTCATGCAATTGCTTATTCATGCATCATACATTATTACACATACTTTGTTCTCAAAACACAAAATACACAACAATGGGGCTCCTCACTTGGAATTTACCATCATCCCACACTAGAGAACCGGAGACTATGGTTTTTTCAATCAACCCTTTCACCGTGACTTGAAACGATAGCTTTTGCCCGAGAGATGTGAACTTTAGAACGCTTGGATTAACTTTGATTTCAAGTCCTGGTGGTGCACTCACTTTAGCTTTATATGTGGACTTCGGTGATCCAACATTTGTGACGGTCCTATTGAAAATGCCATTGACGGATTTAGGGTTCGAGGTGGAAAGTGCAACAGAAGGATAGTTTAGATGATCACTGAGTGTTCCATGACTAGATTGTGATGATGAGCAGCTATGGCTATTCCCGGTAAGAGCTTTCAATAATCTGGTACTATAGCCATGTGCACACAAAAAATTTACGTAATCGATTTCAGCAGCGTCGTATACCAAACCAGGATACGGAGCCCTACTAGGATTTATTAGGCCAGCACCGTATGCGAATTCGGCTTCAGGGTTAAGATTTGCACGCATAGGTTTGGCTGCAAAATTGTTACAAAATAATCAAACATATAAATCTTAGGTAATACAATGTACATCATAGACAAAGTCTAATTATATGTGGAGTCTCTCACAAGACTTGGTCACATGATCTCTGACAATAATTGGTCATCAAATATGTGAGAGAATGGTTGTATTGTAATGGGTACATATATGAAAATGCATCTATACCAGTAGTCGTAAGAGCTGACAGGATAGCAGCAGGTGACCAATTGGGGTGAAATGATTTGACGTATGCAGCCACGCCCGCAGCATGTGGGCATGCCATTGATGTCCCCGATAATATATTGTATGCAGTTACCCTGTCATCACCTTCAAAACCTGAAACTGGGGCAATTGGAGGCCATGCTGCTAGAATGGAAACTCCAGGAGAAGCGATATCTGGCTGCAACATATAGGAGAAAACAAATAGGACAATTAAGACCCCTCAATATTCATGATTCGGTTTGTTCATTTTTTAAGTCAGCATTCACACACCTACGGGGCCTTGAAGTTACCTTGAGAATGTTAGGAGTGTTTGGATTTGGACCCCTTGATGAGAATGAAGGTACGTATGGGGCCAGTGCATCCATGCCCTCAGTACTTTTCCAAATTGTTGCTGTTGGGTTCCTGCGAATCATTACAGGGATTCAGGATTTATTAGCAATAGCATAAAAGTGATCTTTTGATTTATGTTAGTTTTGTTGGATTTTTGGATCGGCGAGCCCATTGGGCTCTACTCTAACAACATCAATACTGTCCTCAACTTTACTACATACCTAATCCGTCAAGTATGGGGTTTTATTACAGAAGGTCTCGATATTAGTTAGAGTGGGGCAATCATACTTAAACCTGTTATTTTCTTTTGCACCCACCGATGTAGGATTCCAACACTTCCCTTCACGTGTAACCTCATTTAGTGGTTCATACATAGAGATCAACACATCGGCAATTGAAACTCGAAGGTTGGCTGTATGTTAAGAGTCCAAACTTGTTTTTAATGGAACTTAGATGCCGGCTCTTTGTTAAGAGTCCTGGCTTGTTTCATTCCTGGTGACAAGCTCATTGGAATTTTTGGATTAACGAGCCCGTTGGGCCTCACTCTAACAAACGGGCGCATTAGTAATATTTTAAATCAATCATGCACTGTCATTCTCAAATATTAATACCTGGTTGAGTTTAAGTAATGGGCAATTTCGTTACCAACGTGGAACCAAACGGAAGCTGCTGGTACTGGAACAGGATCGATTACATCTGCTGCTATTCGGCTTGTCAAAACATAACCAAATGCGCCTGCATATATAGCCCCATACCCAGTAGGCCCATCACAAAGAACAATTTTACCCTCCACCAATTTTTTGTCTAACGTGCCTATTCGGCATAACCTGCTCCATATATATATATATATATTATATATATATATATATATATATATATATATATCCATGTTATTAGCACCTGGTTAGACTTATGCTAGACTACCGTGGTTCTTCAATATAAATGGTATATATACTCTCAAAATGCGTACACATACCTGGATGTTTCCCCATCGTAACCAGCTGCCGTATCTGGAACGTCTGCAGCATATACTATGGGGTAGAATTTACCCTTGAGTTCAAATGTGTTTGTTACTATTCCCTACCAAGGAAGCAAAAACAAATCATAATCAACTTTCATGTTTTAATCAATTCTCTAGTATTTTGGTGCATCTGCAGCATATATATATATATATAATGTTGATTCTCCAAAAGTGTATATACTGCCCAACCAGAATCACTACCAAACAAAGCCCTAAATGAGCAAAGGTTAGATTCTGTATCAGTTACCTCATAAATTTTGTGGTTTCCCAATTGAACCTTGGTATCAAAGTGGCGATCTATGGTGCTAGCAGCCACAGCAAGATACCATGGTGCAAAGTTTGTAATAGTTTTCAGGTTTGGCCCTTCATTACCAGCAGACGCGGAAGTGAATATTCCTTTTCTTAAAGCGTGAAAAGCTCCAATGTCAATGGAATTTCTGAAATAATCTAACGGTTTAAACCCCCCAAGGGAGACAGAGAGTATGTCAACACCGTCAGCTATGGCATCATCGAATGCCGCTAGAATATCAGCATCCGGGCACCCATCTAACCAACAAACTTTGTACACCGCAATGCGTGCTGATGGCACGCCTCCTCTTGCTGTCCCCAACCCTAAACCATACAGACTTGCCTTGCTAACTAAGTTCCCTGCTGCTGTTGATGCAGTGTGGGTTCCATGGCCATCCGTGTCCCTCGGAGACAAGATATCACTGCTATTTTGTGGGTAGGGTTGACCGCGGTAATACCGTGCTCCGATAATTTTACTGTCCAAGTGTAACAACAGTATGTCATATTATTTAAGTCAGAGTTACAATTTGACAACATATCGTATAAATCAAGTTCGCACTTTTTGTTTCTGTCTAAGTGTAATTAACAACAACACGTGATGTTTTGTTTTTTTTCGTTTTTTGAAATGTGCAGTGGATGGTTGAAATAAACTGGTTTGCTTTACTTGTTGCAAGTAAAATTGCCTTCGCCCTTGCATGCGCCTTTCCACCTTTTGGGGGGTGGACCAAACCCGGCGTCACTGAAGCTGGCAGATTCAGGCCAAATTCCAGAGTCAATCACCCCGACAATGATATCAGTTTCAATGGCGCTTCTCTTCACTATTTTAGGAAACCCAATGAAGTCCCATGACCGTGTTGTTTGGAGCTTCTTAGTTTCACTAGGGAAAACAGACACCACACCATCCATTCCTGCATATATTTTTCAAGTCATACAATGGTCACTTTTAATGTTTATTCAAGTTGAAAAATAAAATTAAGTTGGGTTCATAAGACAACCAGCCAACTTCTGTGCTTCTTCCTCTGTTAGCTCGGCAGCAAAGCCATTGAAGGTTCTCTTGTAGCTGTGCAGAAGCAGAGATTCGTGCGCAATATTGCTGGATAAATAAACGTCAAAAATCAAAATCTTAAAAAATTTGACACTTTCAAACTCTGCCATAATTAAGCTTGAAAAACAAAGAGAAGATGTGTATGTATGAGAGATGACTAAATTAAATGGTACACTTGTCACGAATAATGTTAATCAGTATCAATGTTTAAAAGGCGAATGTGTAGGTGAACGTGTTGTGGATAGCTCTGTCTAGGTGAAAACATTGAGGCATGAGGCGAAACCTCACGGAACTTAAATTTTTTAATATATATACAATACATACATACATATACATATTATTTTGATGAGATATGTGGATGTGGAGTCTTAAAAAGAAAAATAAAGGGTAATATATAACGTTAAAAAGTAAAGATATATTTTGAGTTTTTATAGGGTCTTTTGAGGTTTTTTTAGGTCTATATACTTCATAAAAATAATATAAAAGATATGATTTAACAGCGGCTAATAAAGAATATGCTAAAAGATAGAATATGCTAAAAGATATGATTTAACAGCGGCTAATAAAGTGAAAAAAATAATTAAAAAAAAAAGAAAAGAAAAATCAGCCAACAAGTTGGCGTCTTCTTCATCTTCTTCAGACTGCTATGCAACTGAAAACAAAACCCAGATTTCAATCAATTTTTATTTTTTTTTCAGATTCGACAACCTTTATACAAAACTGACGCCCAATCAAACGTCCTGAGGCACGCCCCGACGAAGCTATGCGAGTTTTTCGCCGACTCCCACAAAATATAGACGGCAAGCCACCCGCTAAGGCCCTCGATGCGAGTATTTTCAAACAGTGATCAGTATATATAACTAAGCCCACTATCATATGTGATAATTAATTAAACCTGTCATCGATGACGTTTTGTAGCATGTTTACATGAAGAGCTGATGTGGTAGTGGTGGAAACCTCTGGCTTTGGCTTGTCACCCATATACACAATATAATCCTGCAGTTAATATATCCAAGATCAGAAGATTAAATTAATTAATGAACATATTTTGAGCAGAGAAACGGAATTGTTCAAAATGCATCTTTTATGAATGCCTTCCGGTTATCCTGGTGATCAGCAGATAGAGTGACATCAACTGGCAGAGTAGATATGAGGCTGATGAGAAGGAGAAACCATGGGATTAAAGCCATTGTAGCGAAGTTCTAGAAAGCATGTAAAAGATGGACAATCTCATCCAAGAACACCATCTTGTATTTATAATCAGAGCTGACGTTGAGGGGGAGCTACCGGTTCCATGGCACACGGTCTCAAAATTTAAGAATCCCCAAAATAGTTTTCTATCTAATCGGATATCTTATGAAATAATATTATATTATTTATATAAATAAAAAGGCTAATCAGAACCACATAAAAGATAAAAAAATCCTAGTGGGCCCCACAAACCACAAACCACAAACTACATGAATGCCTACATAAGTCATCAAATCGTAAGAAATTTTATAAAAATTATAAAATAATGATATTATTCACAATGTTTCTCAATTCTCACTCCTGTCATTGAAGATATTATATTATATTATCTTAAACAAAATTTCCTGTCATTGAAGAAAAATTTCCAAATCATGAAGACAATTGAAGTGGTCAGAGTGGTGTAGATTTCGATTAAAATGAGGTACTACTAGTTCAAGTATATTAAGTTGGAATTAGAAGATTTAGGTATTTTTATTAATAATGATATTTTTTTTCCTTTTGTACTTTTTAGGGCAAAACTCATAAAAATTAATCAAGTAATTGTCATAGCAAGAGGGGAGCAGTAAACAAAAACCATTAGACGCACATGCATTGCGAACTATTAGGTTTTATTGTATATGCTTAGTATAATTTAATTATGATATTGTTTGAGATATAAAAGATGACACCTACTAAAAATATTTATGTAGCTACTTGAAACGCCAAAGAAAAAAAGTTGAACAATTGACTCGTCTAAAAAACGAGTTATTGATAGGTTTTTTGTTAAAGAAAAACAACCACGAAGTTCAAATTTTTTTTTTTGTTTTTTTTTTTTAAGATTATCTTAAAAAGGGCCCTTTTATAAATTTGCATAGGATCCCCGAAATTTCAGAGACAACCCTGTTTATACTAAAAATGAAAAGCCATGCATTTCACGTGTTGCAATTTCTCTTTATTCTTAGGGGTATGGTTTGTGCTCCCATGATTATTTTACATAGTTTGGGGGTGTTTTGATATAAACGCCTTGTTTTTTAATTTTGGTGATTAAACATCTATTACTTTTAAGAATATGAAAACTAATGAAAATGATTTAAAAACTTTGAGTTTTAACGATTTTAACAAAATAAAGGGTAAAGTGAAAAATACCAGGTTTGACTTTTTAGTGTAAAAATATGGTTTTTTATTAAAGTGAACAGTAGCGCGGGCTTTTCATTAAAACTCCCTTTAAGAATTTGATTAAACATTTTTCGTACAGTTTTGGTGATTAATTTCATTTTATTAAAGGTTCAATTTTAGACGTTTCTTTTTTTCTTTTTTTTTTACCTTTATTTTCATGAAATTGTTTACTAGCCACCCTAACAAATTTCACATTACATCTTCACTTTCGTTTTCCTTTTTTCCCTATCATTCCTTACCTATGAATTTGTTATAGTTATATGCATCTCTCGTTCTGGAGATTTTAGATTTTTTATTGTTTATTATAATATTTGGTTTAGTGAATTAAATAGAAGGTTCAAAACTCCTTATCACATACATAATCATAGTAAAGGTACGTTTGATTGTATTGGTACAATTGATTACCTATAATATGGGTAATTTTAGTTTTAGAAGTAAATTGTAGCAATGGTCCCTCAACTTTAATCAAATTGGAGCAACGGTCCCTCAACTAAAAATCCATTACCATTGGTCCATCATCTTATCAAAATGTGTAGCTATAATCATTTTCATTAATTTCGTCAAAATTTTGTCAAAATAAGTAATGTTGGAATAACCATTTATATAATTATGGTCCTTCAACTCATCAAAGTGTGTAATTATGGTCATTTTCGTCAACTACATCAAAAATTTTGTCAAAATGAGTTATGTTGGAAGGACCATTGCTACAATTGGGTTAAAGTTAAAGGACCATTGCTACAATTGTGTTAAAGTTAAAGGACCATTTCTCCAGTTGAATTAAAGTTGAGTGACCAATGGTAATGGATTTTTAGTTGAGGGACCATTGCTCCAATTGAGTTAAAGTTAAGGGACCATAGCTACAATTTACTCTTTAGTTTTATGGTACATTTGTTTATTAGTTCATTTAAAATCTAAACGTACCAAAAATCGGTATGTTTATTTTCAAATGTATCATGAGTTTTAAATACATTTATATAACTATATGTAAAATTTTACCAAATTAATGAAGCTTTATTATGAAAGTATCAATAACTTTTATTTAATGTAGCAAGAGACTAATTAAATATAATAATAGAAATAAAAAATTCTCTCTTTTTTTAATGACAATAACGAATTTTTGGTTATAGGGAATGACGGTACAAAAGCATATTAACTGTGTATCAATTCCATGTCTAACTTTTCCAACATATACTTCTTTTGAAAAGAACGAAAACCTCCTGACCTACATCACATGTCATGCATCCATATTGAACTTTGGATACATCCACAAGTCAAGAAACAAGCAGATTAGTCGGTATGCTCAAACAAGTGAGTGGGAATCGAGAAAATGCAGCTTGCTAATATTCCTAGCTCTCCCAAGTCCCACCGCTGGTCACTCGATCGATTGTTCTTGGCATAATTTGAAAGGTAGGGCATGCATTGTCCATACGTATATCTATCGATGCATGATCATGTGCCAACATCTGGAACAAGTGGGTGCGTAAAGATTTTTATGCCACCGATGCATGATGCTACTATTTTATTTTTCATTTGTAGTTGTTTGCAAATGTCCCCACCGAAGTTTTTCGGTCTTTTGTTTTTAATCAGGAAGGTTCCGACTAAAGTCTCATTGATAACTTGATCTAGTGATAGATACAACGTGTATAACGGGAAACGAGGGATGGGGCCTTCAATCAAGACGTGAATAACGGGAAACGAGCGATGGGGCCTTCAATCAAGTAATCAACATAGGAGAAAATCCATATTTTCCAGGCACACCAAAAATGAACAAGGGTAATTATATTAGCACCCCACAAGTTGTTGAATAAACCCTACATACTTAATACACCCCACATTTACTTTTTCAATTAAAAATTATCTTATTAGAAAACCTCATTTTAATCCTTAAAAAATATGAGTTTTAGATTTTAACCTTGTGTAAGATTAAAATCCAATTTTAGTCCCTAGTACATTTAATCATATCATTTATTAGTTATATTTTGATGTTTTATTTATTTATTTATTTATTTTTATTTTAATGTATCAATTACATTTAAATTTAATTTTTATTTCATTCATCATAATATATTTTAATGTCTACATTTAGGTAAGTAATTCTTTTATAATATATATTCCGATAACAATTTTGTATGTTATTCGTTTAGGTACATTAATATATTTGAATAATTCGGTATATCCATTGGTGTAACATCCCACATCGCCTAGGGGAGTGATCATTAAATGTATATTCTCATCCCTATCTAGCACGAGGCCTTTTGGAAGCTCACTGGCTTCGGGTTCCGTAGGAACTCCGAAGTTAAGCGAGAAGGAGGCTAGAGCACTCCCATGACGGGTGACCCACTTGGAAGTTGCTCGTGAGTTCCCAAAAACAAAACCGTGAGGGCATGGTCGGGGCCCAAAGCGGACAATATCGTGCTACAGTGGTGGAATGGGCGCGGGAAGTGGTTCGCCCCGGGCCGGGATGTGACAATTTGGTATCAAAGCCTAACCATGGCCGTGGTGTGCCGACGAAGACGTTGGGCCCCTAAGGGGGGTGGATTGTAACATCTCACATCGCCTAGGGGAGTGATCCTTAAATGTATATTCTCATCCCTACCTAGCACGAGGCCTTTTGGGAGCTCACTGGCTTCGGGTTCCGTAGGAACTCCGAAGTTAAGGGAGAAGGAGGATAGAGCACTCCCATGATGGGTGACTCACTGGGAATTTGCTCGTGAGTTCCCAAAAACAAAACCGTGAGGGCATGGTCGGGGCCCAAAGTGGACAATATCGTGCTACGGTGGTGGAATGGGCTCGGGAAGTGGTCCGCCTCGGGCCGGGATGTGACAATTGGTACAAACATATAGTTACATTGATTCAATATAATGCATTTCATTACGTTCATTTTGGTACACATATTTGAGTATTGACTTTTAGGTACATTAATTCAATATATTATATTTCGGTAAATACATTTAGGTACGTACATTTTGGTACATACATTTTGGTATGGATATTTAGGTATATACATTTCGGTATTGACATTTAGGTACATACATTTCGGTACGTACATTTTGGTACATATATTTTGGTATTGACATTTAGGTACATTAATTCAATAATACATTTTGGTACATACATTTAGGTTAATTATAATATATTTCGGTACAATCATGTAGGTACAATATTTCGGTACAAAAAAAGTCAATTTTATATATTTCGGCATAGTTATTTCTGTACACTTATGTATTTATATATTTTTGTATCACAAATATGTCTTTTAATATTTTCTCATTTACGTTCATTTATAATTAAAAAACTAAATATGTGCATATTAATAAAATTAAAATTTAATATGGAGTGATTAAATAAAAATACACATTAAATAACAAAAATTGAATCTAAAATTTGATAAAAGCACTATTCAAGGGATTAAATTGAATATTTAATCTAGCGCCAGGTTTTTTTAAAATTTTAATCTTTTGTAAGGACTAATGTTCAAAAACCCCTTATCTTAATACACCCCACTTCATTCCCCATAATACCCTCACACCCTACATTCTTAATATACACCTTACATTTTCTACATACACCCCCACATTTCTCAAATCTTGTAACACTCATTTTTAATTTTGCCGAATGATTTCAAACCATCTGAACGTTAGTTTGCCGAATGATTTCAAATTGAATGATTTGAAAAAAATGTTTACGTTCATTTGAACGTTTTTCAATAACAATAATAATGATTTCAAAGCTACCATGTTGTTTCCATTTTCTTGTGCATTTTTTGGTCGAACCAAGTCGACCTGCAAGAAAGCACCTTATGAATGTCATTGACTCAATCTGCAATCAGTTCGCATGCCATGATTTTTTAATTATGAGATTCATAAGTGCTAATTCTTGAATTATTAGATTGAGTGAGATTAAATAATT